TTTGCATATTTTGCGATTACCAGTCGACTCGAGTCGAGTCGTAAAGCAAAAAAATGTGAAACATAAATTCACTCAACATTCAACATAGAAAGGCACTTTCCCCCCCTCCAAAAGAGGGGAAAGTGTGAAGAAAGAGAGAGAGAGAGATCTCGGGGAAAACTAAACAAAAACTTTGGCCAATTGGCTGAAGGACCTTCGTCCTGTAAGCAACTTCCAAGCAAAGAAAAAGTAAGAAAAAAATTAAAATGAAAATTGTACAACTGCTAAAGAAAACATTTGGGGGCTGCAATGCTGCGAAAGTGGGTTAATTTGCCAAAGAATTCTTTGTGCCACATGCCACATGTGTGCAGTGCCTCTGTCTGTGCAAAAGTTTCATTGTTATGAGCAAAGCCCAAAGTTGTCCCTTCAAAGAGAGACAGAAAGAGCGTAAAGTGAGAGAGAAACGAGAGCTTTCAAGGCGTTCTGCTCGGCAGCGTCTTGTTTTGCCACTAGGGGCTCATACTAGGAGTCCTAGGAAATACCTCCTTGGGGACATGGCCAAACTGAAGAAAAAGTAAGCCAGAATGCACTGCTATAAGGTTATAGGTCACACTTGGTCAGTGCCACATGCTTTTATTGAATATTTTAACCATTTAACATATCTCCCTATTTTTTGGGAAAAGGACCCCAAGGGCAACCACCTCTGAAAAACACTTTTAAATGCCAAAAGCCTTGTACTTTTCAGCTGCCATTTGCCAGCTTTCTCAAGCCCTTTATACCCCTCCAGAGCCTCAAACTTTGTGCTAGCCTTCCCTTCAATGCCTTCCCTTCAATGTGTTGCCTGTCACTGGCAGAGGCAATCGCCTTGAACGTTCGCCCAGCAAGCTAATTAGTAATTTATTTTTAGCATTTGCCGCATATTAAATTTTTGCACAAAACTCAATTCATGTCAGCCCAGGGCCAGTGCCAGCGCCCACTGAGGCATCGCCAGTGCTGTAAATGGCCTCCAACATGCAATTAATTGTGTCATTGTAGCCATTAACCAGACAGTTGAGCAGTAACCCAATTTGTTCGCTTGATTGTCGGTCCCACCACCAGATGGGAGGAGGGGCGGGAGAACCACTTGACCGCCGCTCCTAATGGCACTTCAATGGAAGCCCCACCCACCATCAAAGGCCCTGCCAAGGATCCGAAATGTGTTCATTGTGTGCCAGTTTGCAATTAAAATGCCCCTAAAATAAAAGAATATATTTGTGTGTGCGATGGAGGACCCTACTGGGAGGGAGAGAGCGACTCCCGGCATATGTCTTGATATGTCAGATGTCATGCATAATGTAGACGGTGCCCTGCCCTCTTGAACCCTCCTTCCCTACATAATTCTTGTATTCTTAATAGGCTTCCTTTTCGAGATGAAAGATTAAAGAACACAACGTGAACTTTTGCGATGAAATGGAATCTTATATGAGGAAATTCCAAACCTAATAAGAGCATAATTTGGTGAATTATTTGCTGGATTTCCTGTGCCTGTATTCCTCTCTAATCCTAAGCCCAGTGTAAGCGTAATTTCCTGTCAATTTGCTGGTTCTATTGTTCCCTAAGACCCCCGAATGACGCAACTCCTGATGCATCGGAGATGCGGCGTAATCCAATTCCACATGCCACATGCCACATTTGACACACCAGCAAAGTGATTGCACAACAAAGACAATGTTGCAGGTTGTCGGATGCCATTTGCCATGAAACGCTAATGAGCAAGGAGCTGACGATGACGATGACGCTGATGTGGTCGACCACATCATAAAGGCGATTGTTTGTCAGCGAAGCGGGAATGCCCTCAATCTTGCGGGGTTAGGGGTGTTCCAGAGACCTCAATCGGTTGTAGGTCTCTCTCTGTCTCTCTCCTCGTACAAAATCCGTTGGTAATCGTATTTATTGAAACGATTTTAATAACCTTTCAGCCTGATAGCCATTTTCCTTTTGTGTAAGGGAAATGCCAAGGGAAATGCATGTGAAAAGCTTTACATTTTATGCATATTTTGAATGCAATCTCCCACAGAGCCGCAGAGCCACAGATAGAGAGAGAGAGAGAGAGGGCGCCTCAGGTACTTAATCTAACATCGTTGCATGCCCCATCATTGCTGTTGCTGTTGCTGTTGTCCTCATCATCATCATCATCTCCATTCAGGTCTCGTGCTGCGGCATAAACCAAATATATTCCATATTCAAATGCTTATTGCCACCCCCCCACCCTCTCCACCCCCTGTTTGGCCTTTTGTGCACCCCTCTGTGGCACACACACACACACACAGAACTCCTCCTGTGTTTATGGCTCTCTCTCGTATCTGCATCTCTCTGTGGGGAATATTGAATATTATTTGTTTGACTTTTCCATTAATATTTTGTCAATTGACGCCCGGCAAACATATATCATATGGGTTTTTGTTTATTGAGGTTTCCAATTTGCGAATATTTGTGCTCTAATCTGTTAATGCTTGAGGTAAACTCTGGCTCCATCTCTGGCTGTGGCACTGCCTCCTCCTGCTGCTGCCACTCAAAAATGTATTGAAATCAACTTTAAGGAAACACTTTAAGTGCATTTTTGCAGGAGGAAGGAGAAGGAGCTGCCCCTCATTAAGCATCGAAGGAGATTTCAGGACGACGACAGCTGGCGCCATGACAGCGCGGATTACATCTGACGAAAGAGCCGACTTCTCGAGGAGGAGTCCAGCCTTTGGGCCCCAGCCTTTTTCTTGTACAGCGCCCGGCCATAATTTGATCGTTAAAAAGGCCAACGCCGCCATTCGCCGCCTTTGCATCGTTTGCCTCGTTTGCCGGGCTGCAATTAAATGTCCTTTTTTTACGATTGTGCAGCATTTGCAGTCCGTGTAATGAAATTAACAGCGATGCCAATGGGCCGGGCCGCCCCGCACCATGCCACATCCTCTGTGGCACTGATAAACGATCGCATTCTCATGCCCCGAATCCCATGTCCCAGCCAGGCTTTAAAACGCCACTTAAGTGTAAAGTAAAACCGCCATTGAAGTGCCGGGCAGCACGCATTAAATTGCCAAGAAATGTACGAGTATTCGAGTGTGTGCGAGAGTGTTTTTTTCGGGGTACGATTCCATGTGTGGCAGGGGGGATCTGGGGATGACAGCGAGTGCCAGGGTGTGGCTGTCAGCCATAATTGCAGGCCAACGCAGGACATTTTTTATGATACTCTACGCCGAAAGTGTTTCCCCTTTTGCCAGGAGGAAGGAAGCTCTCTCTCTCTCGCTCTCTAGACCCCTAGCTCTCTCCCTCTCTCTCTGTGATTCTCGAAGAGAGAAAAGAGTTGAACGCTTCGTTTTCTGTCCCTCTTCCTCTTCCAGTGTTGCTTAGCAATTGAGGATGAGTATGGAGATGATCGTGTTCCTCCATAGAAAGCATTACGACTGGCAATGAGCCTATGAAACGTTGGTAGCCATGACCATAAACCTTTATAGCTGTCCGATGAAGCTGTAATGCTGTTTAGCTGCCAATCAATCCATTGCTGTTGGCAGAATACAAGCTTAAGAAACTCCCAAAGATATTTAAGGGGAAAATACTTTGAAATCTAAGGGAAAAAAGGTTATTTCAAATGCTTTCTATATTCTATACACGTTCCAATACTATTTCTATATCCAAAACAGAAGCAATCAGTCATTAAACTAATTCCAGAGAGGAAAACTTTCTCTCCTAGAAGAACTTGAGCATTACTATGTTTTTGAATGTGTTTTTTGGACTGCAAGCTATAAGAACTATAATAGCTAGACGGATATCTATCTAGCATATCATTTTGGTTCATATTTAATGCCCTATCCTAAAAGCAGCCACACTCAGAAATGAACTCCCTTCTAAAAAAGTTTAAGGGCCATTAGAGGACTTGTTTCTATATATAAACCCCAATAAAACTAGGCCATCGGTGGTATTACGCATTTCAACACATTTCTACCAAATTTCATCAGAATCGCATAACTTTTAAGGAAAAAACCGCACGTTGAAGTGCACTCCCCGCTTCGGTTCTCACGGCAGGACCTTCCTCTTTGTGACATTATCACTTGGACACACACACACACACACACACACACACACACACACACACACATGCAGCGACACCTGCCTCGTTGAAGCACTTGGCTGGCCACAGGTGGCGCTTTAATTTGCACCTTTTACTGGCGCCTGGGAGTCCTGTCAGCGCTGGTGGTGGCGCAATGGCGCGATGGCGCGATGCCCCACCCAAAAGTCCATGCCGCAGTCGGAGTCGAGTCGGACAGAGTCGGAGAATAGCAGCTCGAAGCGAAGGCTAAGTGAGCCACTATGTCAGTAAGCCCCCCAGGAGGAAGTAGGGGTGCAGCCAGAGAGGGGGTGGAGGGTGCGTCGCTGGGGAGTAATTAACACTGCGTCGAAGCTGGAGCTGGAGCTGGCGCTGGCGATGGCGCTGGGTAAACAATGGGTACCGGGAACCGCCGCAGTCGTTAATTACGCCAACAATGCTGCATGCAACACACGACGGGCGGTGCCCCAGAAGTGTGGGGCGGGGGAGCGGGGGCCAGTCAGGGGCCAAGGAGCAAAAGGTAAATGGAAGAAAACGGAAGTGTAAATTGCTGTTAGAAGGAGCCACCGCCGCCGCCGCCGCCACACAATCAACGGGCCAAACGGGAGGCCAAGGAAGCCAAGAAAACAGATAAAAGCTGCAAAGATTAGTCCAAAGAAACCGGAATGAATCCCTAGAACCATTTAAGACACGGCGAGATAAAAGCTTCAACGATTAGTTAAAGATTCAGTGGGGCAGCCAATCAGGGGCAGTTGCACTTCTCCTTTCACTAAGGAAAGGCTAGAGCCTTAAAGGCCCAGATACAGGGATATATCTCCAGTTTGGGTATCCTAAAACCTTCAAGGAGAGCCCTAAGATCGCTTACCTTACCGCAGATCACTCTTACAGGTCCCTTCTTTCAAACTATCCACCAATTCCCAGTGCAAATTCCTTTAACCAAAAACCTTTTCTTTATTCAAACAAAAATCTTGAAAAAACTTGACTTTTAAAAGCGACGCCAGAGCTTGTAGAGCGCTCCATTGGTGCTGAAAATACTGCGCACCATGAAGACCTGCAGCAGGCCGACGAAGATCATGGCCAGGAACTGGGCCCAGGACCAGTTGTTGACCATCTCGTAGTTGGATTCGGCCAGCCGGCGGTCGCGGGCCTCGTGGGCCCGTATGTAGTCCTGGGTCTGGCGCGAGCGCATCAGATTCACCTGCAGCTTGTTGATGTAGTCGCTGAGATCCGTGAAGACCGTCTCGAAGTGGTAGTCGGTGAGCATCTCCTTGCGCAGCTCGCGCACCTCCTGGGCCTCGTAGTCGGCGGGCGACACCTCCAGCGAAAAGGAGACGATCTTCTGGCTGAAGGTGCTGATGGTGTTGTCGAAGCACAGCTTGTAGATGCCCGTCTCCTCGGCCGCGTGCTCGAGGCTGCCCTTGTCCTTCTTCTCATCGGCGGCCAGCAGCTTGCGATGCGGATCCATCAGCGTGAAGCTGATGTCGGTGTCCCCATGGCCGCCGGCAATCACCTGGTAGTCCATCCTGATGATCTCTGTGGCGGCCACGGGCTGGTGGAAGCACTCCATGCGTCCCGGATCCGCGTATATGGTCAAACGTTGGTTGAACGGCTCCGCCTTGATGGCCAGCACGAGTCCCAGGCAAAAGTAACAGACGATTTGGTACATTTTTGGCTGTTTTTGACTGTGATTTGTCCGTTTCGAATCGGTTGTTGGTTCGGGTTCGGGTTCTCTCTCTCGGTTTGGCAAAACCTTGTGTGTGTGTTTTTGTGGAAGTGAATCCAAAGGCCTACTGTGTTACTGCCAGAAGGTGAAACGTAGATACACAGATACAGAGGCAGATACAGAGATACACAGATGCAGAGATAGAGATAGAGAGAGATACAACTGCTAAATGCAGCTTTTAATAGCCAGCGGCGATTGCTGCGGCATTACAGCTGTGCAACGCAGCAACAAAGTGCATAAAGGGTCTCCCATATATCCTTTCCAACCCATGCCCCCCCCCCTCAGTATAGACCATAGAGAAGCCCTCCTACACACCGCTCCTCCCTCTCGCTGGTCGCTGGTTGGCGTTTTCCTGGGAAAACTAAAAGCAACAGCATCAAAAGGAATATGAATTGAGGTCGATGTGTAAATATTTGTCAACGGTAATGGAAATTTATGCTACCGTTGCTGCCACACGGCTGCAGCCACTGCTACTGCTACTGCTACTGCCTCTGCCAATTCTGTGGCATGGGCGGCCAGGGCGTGGCTTGCATTTTTTTTAAACTGTTGGCGACGCCAGAGCCATAGAACAAAAAAAAGGACAGAGAGAGAGAGAAGAGTAAGTAATATCGATGTGAATGTGGGGGCAACAGTGATACCCTTTAGGTCCGAGATGGGGAGGGATCTCTACCTGGAGGGGGGGCTATATTTGAAGGAGGATGTTTAGAAGAGTCTCAAGGGGTGATGTTTTGATTGACAAATGTAAATATATTCCGATAAACTTCCATAAAACTTTGAATTCTTTGAATCTTCTAAAATATTTCTCAAGTTTTATTGAAATATTATAGGGAGTGCCCCAAAGCTCTGTTTTATTTGATAATAATTTAATTTAACAATATTCTCTGTAACTTTTACGTTTCCTTCAGGGATTACCTTCCTAAGAGCTGATTTTCTGCCCTGCTTCACATGCGAAAAGGTCCTTCCCTTCCCAACGAAGGAAGGCAGGCAGTATCCTCTCCGGAAAGGGTATGCCAAAAAAGCCACTCCTGCCCAAAAGAAACCAAAAATACAGAAAAAGGGCGAGCGCAAAAAAAAAGGAGTGAAAGCAGCAAATGCTTGCGTTTGGGCAAAGAAACTTTACAAATAGATGCACACACCCACACACACACCCACACACACGTACACACCGCTACTCATATGTATTTTACACCCACACATGTCCAGGCACACCCACCCACCCATACAGGCGCTCGCTGGCACCTATTCTCTCTCATGTTTAGTTGCATTTGTTTGCACACTGCAACGCGTTTTTTTGCCCCCTCTTTCGCTACCTTTTGATACCCTTTTTTGGAGAGGGGTATTACAGCTTTTGGGGGGAGATAGGCCAAGGCGGAAATGGCAGAAAGGAAGGAAGAAATACTCATGATCCTCATCAAAAAGTCGAGGGAAAAGTCATATCTGTCGGGCCATGCTGGATCCGTGCCGACGCGGAAACCCTTCAATGGTTCTGCTTCCGTTTCGAATTCTGTTAATTTAACTCTCGTTTGAATTTGAGCGCTTGAAAATGGTGATATTCTTTGGCCATAGCTCCAATCAGCACTTTCGGATGAGCGGCATATTCAATGTCTGAGACACACAGAAACAAAGCGAATGTAATGGTTGCTTCCGAATATTTTTGCTGTCGCTCAATGGCCGACAGGCTGATTCACGCACTTGCGACATGCTCACACGCACATTTTCGTTATCTTTTCGGATTCCTTTGACTATTCTTTCTGCTCTACCTTTACCATTGAAAATCACACCTATCAATTTGGAATACACCTGTTTTTTAGGCCCTACCCTTTCGAAGATACCCTTCTTTTTAAGGGCATTCAAAGCAGCCTTCTTTTCCTGTTCCTTTCTGCTTTTTTTTTTTTTGGTTGTGCATAAAAATTTCAACGGCCGGTCTGCACTTCAGTTTTTGGTTATTTACTTTACAAAAAAAAAAAAGCGTCGTCGTCGTGCAATGAACACCCAGGCGACCCCAGCTACTAACCCTTGCCCCCCATCCAGAGGAGCATCCCCTCCCCCCCCCCCCTCGTTCTAGAAAGAGCAAAAACTTGCATTCGCGACGTCGCTGAAATGCCGGCGGCTGGAATACGCAGTCGAAGCATGAAAGCTGCAAATAGGACGCATAAAAAATGTGTTTCCCGGGGTCGTCTGCAGGTGATGGCAGCTCCAGCGAGGGCGGGGCGGGGCGAGGCTCAGGCAGCAAGGAGGTGCCACACAGTAGCAGCAGGGGGGAGGGGGAGGCTGGTTGTGTGGGTGGGCATGTGTCTTACAGCGTGAAATGTTGAAGGCGTTGGCAGCTGCAAAGTAGCCGACACGGGAGTCCTGCCGGCTCTGGGATTTGACTCATTCGAGCGTGTTCTCTCTGCCCCTGCCCCTCCTTCTCACTCTCTCTCTCTCTCTCTGTGTGTGTGCGTGTGCGTGTGCTTGTTGCTTTAGTTGATTGTTTGCTGGAGGCGCTTCAGGTGTTAGAGCGTTTACCATTAGAAGGGGGCTCGCCAGGGTAGGGTGTGGCTGAGTGTGTCCTGGCGGATCCAGCTTCCACAGAAGCCAATTTAATTTGATGAAATTAAGAGATGGCCAGGGCAGAGCGAGAGGGTGAGAGAGATAGCTGGAAAGAAGCGAAAAAGAGCGACCGAAGAGGCGCTGGCGAAAGATGAGAAGCCAAACGTGCAGACAGCCTTAATTTAATAGCAAAATTGGCAGACTTTTGCTTTGGTAATCCCTCTTTAAGCTCAATATTTTCCACCGATCATGGGGAAAATCTATCGTTTGGCTGTTGGAACACCTGGCTTTCGGGGACTATCGAGGCCCTTAATATTGGGCAGTACATGTGCCTCTGGTTCATAATCCTATCCCTAGGAAATGTATTGTATTTTTCCCAGGAAAAAGCCTCTAAATATTCTCCCCCTTTCCCCCAAGGTCTTATATATTTCCTTGATTGTTCTCCCAGTCTCATCCCCAGCTCCTATCAATCCTTGGCCTTTGTCCTTGTCATCAAATCACAGTCTCAGCCTTTGACAAATGCAATACCCTCCCCCTTTTTCTGTCTGTCAAAACAGACTGGACTTTTGGTTGGGGTTTTTGGCTGACAGATGGCCTTCGGCGGGGGAGGCGGGGGACTTGCTTAACAACCCCAAAAACTGTGAAGGTCAGCCACAAGAATGAGCTCATGAATTATTAAAGACGGCAGCAAAATGTGACCCTAATCCTGGTTCGAATGATTGCCAAATGTTTAGTCAAATGGAACTAAAATTTTTGGTGGAGAAAAACAAACCTCAAAATGCCCCCAGAAAGATGTTTTAAAGAAGGTTTTTCTTTGGGGTCTGGGGTGGTAACATTCCTTGACCAAAAGCCAAGGCCCATCTGGCAGAAGGACTCCGCCAGGACCTCGATGTCCTACTGCAAAAGTAGCACTTTAAATTAATGAACTGAGATTAAGCAAGACAAATTGTTGTTGCCGAGGCTTCGACGGGGTGGGGAGGGGGGTCTGGGCAAATTGTTTTTCGTTGGAAAATATATTAATTTGTATTTTGTGTGTTTGCATCTTCGTGAACCCCCCTACCCCCTCCCCACCCCTCGCACAGCCACAATAAATATACAATTTATTGTTATTGATATTTGTGTAAACATTTTCGTTTTCTCTCTGTTTTCCATTTTCCTTCGACTGCAATTAAGAATTTAAGAGCCGAAACGTGGCGCTTGTCGTTGGGACATTGGGAAAATTGAATGAATTTTCCCTGGGACAAGCAGTTGACAAGTATGGAAAATTTATAGCAACTGCAGGACATGCAAAATACATTCGGACACTGCAAGATGCACTTGGAGAATATAAGAATAATTTGGGGTATCAAAAGTCATCAAATAAATACTTTTTCCACTAGAATTTCTCTCAGTGTGAAACACTTTCACTGGTCACCGAGCCAGCAACTAAATCTCATGGGGAAATGCAGTTTCTTTTTCGTGTTTTTTTGTCTTTCCGCAGAAGAAAATATTCATTGAATTTTGTAGTAACAAACGACAGAGTTGTCTGTCAGGGAAACCAAAGCAATTTTCATGGAAATTTATTGCCCCCCAGTGACCAGAGAAAAACCCTGCAGGACCTGTTCATCAGGTTGAGAGAGAGAGACGCTGGACATTATGCCATTAGATGTTTGAACTTTTCGCCACGCGAACAATCCCAAAATAAATAAGCAATTTCCGAGGACAACTTGGAATGAGGATAAAATGCAATGGACCAACAATTTCCAATCGGAAGGAAGGGCCAGAGAGAGTGAGAGAGAGAGAGAGAGTGACTTTTCTGTGGCAGGAATGGCATTTGTGCAGCTTTGGCCAAAGCTCTTCAAAGTGCTTCTTAACTAAGCTTAAGAGCAGAGCAACAGCCAACAGCCACCAGCCACAACTTCGATTTGGTGTGGAAATTGCAGTTTCCACACTCCAGCCCCGCATTTTCCTGGCTTTTCCTTGACAACTTTTCAGCTGCTATTTGTTCTTATAGTTGTTCTTGGGCTCTTACTTGTTCCCTTTCGGATCATTGAAGTGTGACAAAGTCGCTGCATCGCAGCGGCTATTAGTTGGGTCGCCAAGGTGGCCTCAAAGGAGAGGGGGAGAGAGGGGGTTTATGCCGTCTTCAAGGAGGGATTTCTTCTGGTGTAGCCGTAGGCTAGTCACTCCTTTCACTCATTTTAATCCCCTCGGTAAGCACTTTCCGCTAATTCAATAAGAACCGAAAACATTTGGCCAAAACAGAAACAGCAAGCAGCCAGGGGAGTACCACGCTTAAGCCAGGGACTCACCGCATAAACGGAGTAGAACCGGGGACATCAGCTAAGCTCATTTGTGGCCGCCACTCGAGGGGGCAAGTGGCAGGTCCCGGCGGAATCGCTGAGATCCTTGGGCAGCCAAGCGTGGCTCCGTGGCCCTTCCACCTGCCCTGCCCTGTGGCAGCCACTTCGATGAGTGCCTTTGGTGGGTTGCCTTCATTTGTGGTTAAT